AGGTTAAAACTTAAAATTCAACAAAGCAAGAAATTATTTGTTAAATGTAGCAATAAAATAAATAAATCATTGTTAAATCAAGGAATACAAAAATACCAACCAATACTAATGAATTGAAAAATAGGAGTATATGATGATCATCTAGAAAAACAAACAGCGTAAAAAATCTTGAGAAACACAGGGAACATAGATTCAAATTCAACATATCAATGCGCAACGTGAAGACCATAAAATGCGTAAATATTCAAACCAACTAAGCCGATCCTTTGAATATACTACATTTTAGATGGGATAATTTTGGTGTGACCCCAAGATCTTATCTCAACTATAAAATCTTATTATTAATTAATATATTTAATAAATTAATAAACGAGACCGGTTTCAAAATTGACTTTCAAATGTTTTGAGCCATAGACATTTACTAATGACTTGTTACAAATTATTCCATATTAATATTTTAATAATAAATTGATATCTTGTTAGAATGGTAATATCTTACATCGGTTAAGTTTGATATGACTGACTGTCTTATATTCAAGTTGGATCTCTACACCTATTCGTTTTAGATTGGATGTTTAACATGATATCAGATCTCAAGTCTGTCCCGTTGTCCCAGACTCGGTTGTCCACATGTAGGCTCGTTCTGTTTCGATTACACGTGCGAGGACGTGTTAGAATGGTAATATCTCACTCCACACAGCTTAATTTCAAGCTGACACTCTCCACCTATTGTCAATTGATTTTAGGTTGAATACTTAACACATCTTAATTCCCACAAAAATTCCCACCAACGAATTAACCACATTATCAATTAATTTTATGTTGAATACTTAACACATCTTAATTCCCACCAACCAAAATTAACCATGGTATATAAAATGTTAGTTTTGACAATTGAGGAATGAAAAATTATTCTATCTCGATCATTGAAGTTTAGCAAACTGCACAACTATATTAGATAGTTAACATGTGTCACTTTAAAATATATTTCTTATATTAAATAAATAATTAATTAAGAAATATGGCATATATCAGAATTTTTTACTGAGCGGCATTTTTTACTAGCTGCATCGGCCCCCTTGATAACTCGATCGTTTGGGTGTTTAAAATCACCTCTTTTTTTTGCGATTCATCTCACTGAATAATTAAAGGGCATTTTTGACTAGCTGCAAACTTAACTATGAAGGCCCTCTTCCTATTTTTTTTCACCTGTATACGCAAAGTTTCGAACCTGAGATCTATTTAAACTAGAACAAACCGCTTACCACTTAATTCAACTCCACATTGGTAGTATGAAGCCCCCCTTTGATAACCCGTTTGGGTGCTTAAAAGCACCTCTTTGCTGCGGTTCATCTTGCCGCACTACTAAAGGGCATTTTGACTAGGTGCAGTGAGTTACAATTTTTCTTACGTACCAACTACCAATCTAAAAGCTGCTTATTTTAACTAATGATAAAAGGTGTTTTTGAGTTTAAGTTGGTGTTACTCATCTTACCGCCACGATGCTTTATCTCAACGAAGACAATCTCACAACTATACAAAGTAACTCAAAATCTAAGTATCTAACAACTCCATTTTCCTCAAAAAAAAAAAAAAAATCTAACAACTCCATTAATGATGTATCAAATAATTGTGCAAAAAGAATTATCTATTTTAGTACGTAATAATGTTAGAAATTTGGACTTACAAGTTACAATAAAATAGACTACAAACAAATCAAGCACGCACATTCTGACTCTCAGATTTGTTTATTTGAATGCATGAGAAAGAAGTGAAATATTTCATGCCAACGAGAATGCTTCATATATAGTTTTGTTGTCTATGGTTGCAATATTTGGCTTGCAACGAATCCCTTTCACCTACTGATGAGATAGATTCGACAAAAATTGGGGTTGGTCGAAACTCGAAAGCATTAAAAAGAGGGTAGACCATAATTTTTTTTTTTCAAAAGTAAGACCATAATTTTTTTTTATACCAGGTAGACCATAATTGATAATTGTGTCAATTATGATTTTTTTTAGAAAGTGTCAATTATGATTTGGTTCACCATTTTTTGGGAATTCGATTCAAAAGGGACTCTTACCCCTACCATACATAAAACTTGGTCATTAGTCATTATCACTATTCACATGATAGATTGCGTGGTGAACTTTTGCCCTCTCACTCTAGTCTATTCCACTAAACTAGTCTATTCCACTAAAGAAGATGGATTCATACTTTACTATGCTCCCTTTAGTTCCACTCTAACGTTGACTTTGTGTTAAAAAAAGTGATAATTGTGGTTAATAAAAGAAAAAAACATGTATCATCATCTTAACTCCACTTGTTTTATCTAATTTTAGTACTGATAAGTATCTAAACTGGGTTGTTCTTTAAAGGAGGATTATCAACCACCACCGGAGGTTTTGGAGGTGCTGCAAGCAGATAGTATAGGAATAGTCTTATCTTAGAGGATACAAGATGTCTTAATTTTTATTTACTCTCGGGGTTTACCAAAACAAAAAATCTAAATTTCCTACTAACAATGTATAAGATAATAATCCATACGAGAGGGGTGACTCGCGCTGGCACGTCGAGCGTTTTGAAATTTGAATTGTTAAAAAGTTGCTTTTATATGAATTGCCTTAATTTTGGTGTAGTTTAGTGTTGTTAAGGAGTAGGAATCGTTTGGTAATATAAAGGAGTAGGAAAAGTTGAGTGCCAAATTTTTAATGCAATATAAATTGATTGATGTGAGTTATGCTCTACAGTGAGTAAAATTTAAAGAGGAAGTTTTAGGATAAATTTGATTTTGTTAAAAATATAAGTTGGTTCCATATGAGCTGTTGTAGTTTGATATTGGCAATAAGAAGCAGGTTAACCTTAAATAGTAGTTGTATATTAAAGGTAATAAGTTCAGCAATACGGACAAAAAGTATTGGTATTTGTCAAAGAAAAAAATTCATTCTTTATTGTAAATTTATTTCGACATTTTCTAACAATGCAAAATAAACATTGTTAAAGCTATCCGTTATTCCAAATTGATAAACACATGTAGTTATATATAGCATAACTCACAGCTCAATGCTTTGAATTGATACAAAATGTGCTTTAAATATTTGTTTTTTTAGTATTATACTGCACGATTTAGTGAAAACTATTGTTATAGAATTAAATAAACTGAAATATTTAAAACTGTAAAATAAACACATAAGGTGAAAATCTTTCTTTTGTGGCTTTGCATTTTTTTTGTAATGTCTAAATCTGTAATGGAAATTGAAGAGCTTAAAATTTAGCTATGATGTCAGCATATTAAGGAGAATTCCTTACTACATCATAAGAAAGCTAACTCCAATTCTTAGGCTTTAAAAAAGCCAAATTCTATCATTTTATCCAATTTGGAAATAAAAAAATTCACTTCGATTTGTACTGCAATTATTCACTCAACATAAAATGCAAATAGTCTAATAACAATAATCAAACTCCAATCACATACAATCCAACTTAAATAAAATATATTTCAACAAAACAGTGAAAATAGTAAATTTAAATTTTGTTTCTCTTAAAAAAAGTATGTTAATTAAAATCAAGAGAAAGAATTGCTATATTAAAGATAAGATGAGAATAGATGGGTATTGAATAGTTAAAGGAATGAAACGTCCTATTCTGTAATTAGATTTCAAGAATGAATTCTGGAAGTCTTTATTATGAATCATTCCCAATGAACTAAAACGGTTCTCAAAAAATGGAATAATAACAATGAATATCTGAAGAGTTGATTTTATTTCGAGTTAATGGTTTGGTTTTATAACTCTTTTAATTAAGTGTTAATTAATGGTTTGTAAAAAAACTACTAAAACAGGGCGATAAGGTCTCACTAGATTAAAAGTTGGAAGGACTGTTAAGTAATTTCACGTTGCTACAAAAATAATATATAGTATATATATATTTTAAAAAATGAAAATAAAATTATAAACATTCTTTTAATATTGTAACATTCTTGGGCCAAGCCTAGCTGGACTTTGAAATTCCTATCTGTATGGGTTGGAAATTCTCCAGGTCTTGGGATAGTAGCCCATTTTAAAGTTGAAATATTTTAGCAATAGAAAGTCGCTTAATCGGCCAATAGTTTATTGAGCTGGCGAAGGCCCAATAGTTTTTGCTATTCCACATTGTTGGGAGAGCTTTACCCCCATAGTAGGTCAACCCGGCTCGAATAAGGTTAACTTTGTAAATATACCAAAAAAAACATAACGATACTATTCAGTTATTCTGATGAAACATTATTTTATAGTAACTCATTTTAATCTTCTATTAACTCAATCACTCTAATTATGTGATGTTACGCCCAGTTACGCGCGCCTGTTTCATCTCAATCCGAAGCTTTAGCTCTTTTAATCTTCTACTAGCAAGCACTGAACCCAACAATCTTCTCAACAATGTGCGAGTGTTATCCTCACGTGGGCAGCTCCAGGAAGCACTCTTGCTCTCATACAAGTCACCGCTAGAACTTCACTGTCCACAAACGTACGCCGTTCTCTTCCATGAATGCGCCCACCACGAATACCTTCAACAAGGCCTTCGTTTGCATCATTTCATGCTTGCCCATTGATAGTGCTAAGAAAGGGATGAGAAGCAGACTAACAGAATGGGGAGAGAAAAATATTAGAAAGAGATGAGAATATTTGAGATAACAATTTTCTGATGCCTTTCATTCCTTCTTTGTCTTACATATAGTGAGTACAAAAACGGTTACGCCTAGGATCACACGTTTAGCTGAAAGTTTCTAGAACAGTTTTAAACAAAACAAATACAACTATAGATTATTTATGGCTCATTTCATAATACTTGTTCCACTGGGGTGCATTTCTGACTCTTTTGGGCCTTGTAATCGTAACACTGCTTTGCCCTTCAAGACCAACCTTGTCCTCAAGGTTGAAGGTAGGAAACAAGGTTTTCAAGTCTTCAAGTCTTTCCCAGGTGGCTTCAGTAACAGGAAGTCCCTTCCATTGGACTAAGCACTAGTCAGAAAAGATGCCTCCACTAGAAACTTTGCGTCTCTCCAAGATCTCAGCAGGTTCTAAGATGGGTTTCTCATCGTCACTCAAGGCAGGGATGGGAGTAAAGCTGTCCGTTGGAGAACCATAACAACGCTTGAGCAGGGACACATGAAATATAGGGTGTATTTTGGCTGACTCTGGGAGCTTTAACTCATAAGCAACTGAGCCGATGCGACGCACGACCTGGAAGGGTCCAAAGAACCTTTTTGCCAATTTATGAGAGCTACGCTGAGCTAAGGACTGTTGCCGATAGGGCTGTAATTTCAAGAACACCCAATCCCCTTCAGAAAAACTCTTTTCCGAGCGCTTGCGGTCAGCTTGCATCTTCATCCTGTTCTGAGCATAAGCAAGGTTAGTTTTGAGCTCATTAAGAATATTATGTCGCTCAAGAAGGGAGTCCTCAAGTGCTGCAATTTTAGTTTGGCCAATGACATAAGAAGCTATAGTTGGTGGGGGTTTGTCGTATACCACTTCAAAAGGAGAAAAACCTGTGGCTGAATGAGTGGTAGTGTTATAAGACCATTCCGCCCAATGTAAAAACTTGGACCACAAGCGGGGTTTGTCACTGGCAAAGTAGCGCAAATAAGTCTCTAAGCAGCGGTTAAGTACCTCAGTCTGTCCATCTGTTTGTGGGTGGTATGCACTACTCATTTTGAGAGAGGTGTCCTGAAGTCTGAAGAGTTCCTTCCAGAATTGGCTCAAGAATAGTGAATCCCTATCACTGACAATCGAGCGAGGAACCCCATGGAGTTTACAGATTTCTTTAGAGAAGAGCTCAGCTAGTGAGGCAGCTGTCACAGAGCTTGGAAGAGCTATGAAGTGAGCGTATTTCGACAATCGGTCGACAATGACCCAAATAGTTGTTTTACCATTGGAGGGAGGAAGACTTGTAATGAAATCCATCGAAATATCCTGCCACACCATCGAAGGTATAGGCAATGGTGAAAGTAACCCCCTGGTTTAGTGGTTTCATACTTAACCTGTTGACATATTTGGCAAGATTGCACAAAAGTGTGGACTGATTTTCGCATTTGTGGCCAAAAAAAATTTGTAGCAAGCCGAGAATATGTCTTAGAGATACCTACATGACCACCTGTTGGAGTTCCATGGTATTCATGCAGCAACTGTGATTGCAACTCATGGCCCTCTGGAATCACAATCTTTCCTTGATAAAATAATAAACCATCCGATATAGAATACCCCATATTTGAGTCTTGTTGGCCTTGATTCAAAAGTTGCTGCCCTGTTTCAGAAGTGGCATAATAGTGGCGCAAGGAGTCAAGAAAGGAGAAAACAGGACTCGATATAGCCAAATATTGAGCCGCAGGTTCAGGGCACCTCGACAATGCATCAACAGCTAAATTATGTCTCCCTGGCTTGTAAACGATCGAATAATTGAACCCCAACAACTTAGCCAACCACTTTTGTTGCTCAGGAGTTTGGATGGTTTGAGTCATTAAGTTCCTCAAGCTTTGTTGATCTGTGAATATGGTAAATGAACGCCCCAATAGATACTGGCGCCACTTGTGTATTGCCTCGGTTATGGCATACATCTCTCGCACGTATGTAGAAGCAGATTGCATTTGGGGAGATAGTTTCTTGCTAAAATAAGCAATGGGATGACCTCCTTGGGATAACACAGCACCAACAGCTATATTAGAAGCATCTGCCTCGATGCAGAAAGGCAAGGCAAAATCAGGTAACCGCAGCACAGGGGTAGAAGTTAAAACAAGCTTTAAATCTTGAAAAGTTTTGCTTGTAGTTGAATCCCATAGAAATTGGTCCTTGCGCAATAAATTAGTAAGAGGAGCAGCGATTGCAGCATACCCTTTTACAAATTTGCGGTAGTATCCGGTTAGACCGAGGAAGCCACGCAAGGCTTTGAGGTTGCTTGGAGTTGGCCAGCCGACAATAGCCTCAATTTTGGAAGGATTGACTTTGACTCCTTCTCCAGTAATAATATGCCCAAGATGATCTATGGAGGAACGACCAAAAGCGCACTTAGATTCTTTAGCATAAAACTGATTGGTTTGCAGCAAGTCCAAAACCACAGAGAGGTGATCAAGGTGGGCTTCCCATGATGGACTGTAAACCAAAATATCGTGAAAAAAAAACGAGTACAAAACGCCGAAGATGAGACCTGAATAAATCATTCATGGCTGATTGGAAGGTGGATAGGGCATTCGTGAGGCCAAACGGCATTACCAAAAACTCGTAGTGGCCATCAGAAGTCCTGAACGCAGTCTTGTAAATATCTTCTGGAGCGACACGAATTTGGTGGTACCCAGCACGTAAGTCAATTTTAGAAAACACTGTTGCACCGTGGAGCTCATCAAGTAATTCGTCCACTGTCGGAATCGGAAATCGATCCTTAACGGTAGCATCATTTAAAGCTCTATAATCCACACAAAAGCGCCACGTTCCATCCTTCTTCTTAACCAGGAGACCTGGAGAAGAAAACGGGCTCGTGCTAGGTCGTATGATACCCTCGTGAAACATCTCTGAGATAATTGTGGCCATGTCACTCTTTTGAGAATGAGGGTAACGATAAGGCCTCACATTAATCGGACCGGTGCCAGGCTGCAAGTGGATATGGTGGTCATGAAATCGTTGGGGAGGAAGCCCTTTTGGCGTATCAAAGACTGTCTGAAATTTACATAGAAGTTGAACGAGATCTGGGTGAATTGGGGATTTCGCGAGGGGGGCGGTAGAGGAGGTAGCTTCCATAGTGAGAAAATGAGTGTCTGCTATAGAATTTGTGTGGACTAAACGTTTAAGCTGTCCATAAGAAACGGGTTGGGGACAATTGGGCTTGTCACCCTGAAGTGTGATGAAGGAGCCCAAATGATAAAAACTCATATAAAGAGCCTTGTAGTCAGCAATAACATGCCCCAACTGTGATAACCATTGGATCCCAAGAATAACATCTGCCCCACGAATATCCAACATATATAGATCAAGATTAAACTCATGACCTTGGAGGCCCAATTGGATAGATGGAATTCGGCCCAGACAAAACAATTGCTCCCCATTGCCAACAGAAACAGAGAACGGCGGCGCTGGTTCGATACTGAGATTCAAGTGCTTAGCCAGCCGTGGTTGGATTAGGTTATGGGTACTACCCGTATCCACCAGCACAGTGAGGTTCTGACCTTTCAATACACCAGAAAGCTTCAAAGTATTATAAGAAATAGTACCAAACAAGGCATGTAAGGATACCTGAAAGTCGAGTGAATCGTCGACTATGGTGTCCTGTGGTGGTGGCAAAGCTGGAACCGCCGAGAGGGGCATTGAATGAACAGCTTCCAGAGACTCAAGGGCCGGAAGATCATCATCTGCCTGAAGTAAAAGGAACGGGGTTGTGCGGCAGCGATGGCCTGGTTTGTATTGTTCATCATAATTAAAACAGAGCCCTTTGGCTCGTCTTGCTTGCATCTCAGTTGGCGATAAACGCCGTATCGGGAAAGTGGAGGGGACTGGCTTAGGTGCAGGCAGTTGTGGTATTTGGGAAGTAGATGGCCTTGGTGGAGGAAGTTGTGGAACGGAAAAAGAAGCTTTGGGCAGAGGAGGTGGCGGTGGTATGGGGGAAATCGAAAATCTTGGTAAAGGAGATTGAAGGTCAAGGATTTTGTCTTCCAGAAGTTGGGCAATATCCCCAGCTTCACTAAGAGAACTGGCTTTTAAAATAGACATTTCACGCTGCATATAAACAGGGAGCCCCGAGATGAAACAATTAAGTTGAGTGCTTGGAGATAAACCATAGATTCTGTTGGAGAGGGCCTCGAATTCCCGACGGTAGTTGGCCACGGTCGAGGTGAGTCGAAGCTTAAACAAGGCAGCTTCATGATTGAAGTAGGCCGAAGGACCGAATCGGCATTCAAGGGCCATCGTAAAAGAAGGCCAATCCACCAATAGATTATTACGGTGCATCCATTGAAACCAACTAAGAGCATCACCTTTCATATAAAACGAGGTCAGAGCCAAGCGTTGGTGCATCTGGACAGAGTGATAGGTGAAGAACTGCTCTGCTTGAAAAATCCGGTCTAGGGGATTTGTTCCCTCAAATATAGCGAGAGTGAGTTTAGGAGTTTTGAGAGAGTGGGATGAGGACGGGGAAGATAGATCTGTGGGAAGGTCGAGGTTTGGCTGTGATGTAGAAGATGGAGAAGGCAAAAGAGAGTGAGGTGCCTTCTCTATTTTTGCAATTTTGTGTTGAAGGTCGGTGATGGTGGCGGTTTGCGCCGAGAGCGTAGAGGTAAGTGCGGCTATTGAGGAGTTGAGCTCTTGAAATTGGGGTGAAAAGGCTGTAGAGAGGTGGTTGATGATATCATCGTTGGAGGTTGTTTGAGGTTTAGGAGGCATGGCGGCGGAGAGGACAATGAAAGCACCAATGATAGTGCTAAGAAAGGGATGAGAAGCAGACTAACAGAATGGGGAGAGAAAAAGATTAGAAAGAGATGAGAATATTTGAGATAACAATTTTCTGATGCCTTTCATTCCTTCTTTGTCTTACATATAGTGAGTACAAAAACGGTTACGCCTAGGATCACACGCTTAGCTGAAAGTTTCTAGAACAGTTTTAAACAAAACAAATACAACTATAGATTATTTATGGCTCATTTCATAATACTTGTTCCACTGGGGTGCATTTCTGACTCTTTTGGGCCTTGTAATCGTAACACCCATTTCCCCGGAAGCACCTCTGACCTCATTGTCACTAACCATCTCATCAATATGTACTCAAAATGTGGTTACTTGGAGCATGCTCGACAACTGTTTGATGGAATGCTTGAAAGGAATGTTGTTTCTTGGACGGCACTTGTTTCAGGGTATGCTCAATGTGGTAGGAGTGTGGAGTGCTTTGGTTTGTTTTCCGGCATGTTGGTTGAGTGTCGACCTAATGATTTTGCGTTTACAAGCGTGCTTAGTTCTTGTGATTACTTGCGTGGTAAGCAAGTGCATTCACTTGCATTGAAGATGGGATTGGATGCTTCTGTTTACGTATCAAATGCTCTTATAAACATGTATAGCAGGAGTTATAAGATAGATGAGGCTTGGACATTGTTTAACAGTATGGGCTATTGGACTTTAGTTTCTTGGAATTCAATCATTTCCGGGTTCCAGATAGCAAAGCTAGGGATGCAAGCAATTGGTGTTTTTTCCAAAATGCATCATGAGGGCATTGGCTTTGATCGTGCTACACTGCTCAGTGTCTTTTCTTCGTTGTGTGAAGGCAGTTAGATTCGGATCTTCAGTTTTGTTTTCAATTATACTGCCTCAGTGTCAAGACTGGTTTTATTTTTGAAGTTGAAGTGGCAACTGCGTTTATGAAAGCATATTCAAATCTTGGAGGGGACGTTTCTGAAATTTATCATCTCTTCTGGGAGACTAATTGTTGTCATGATATTGTTTTCTGGACTAACATGATAACAGCATTTGCTGAACGTGACCCAGCTGAAGCTTTCTTCCTCTACCGACAATTGCTTCGAGAGGACTTGACTCTAGATGGATATACTTTTTCAATTATACTAAAAGCTTGTGCAGGTTTTGTAACCGAGCAACAGGCTTATGCAATTCACTCGCAAATAATCAAATATGGGTTTGAGGATCAAATGGTGCTAAAGAATGCCTTAATCCATGCCTATGCAAGATGTGGCTCCATTGCTTTGTCTAGGCAAGTTTTTGAAGAATGGGTTGTCGTGATGTAGTGTCTTGGAACTCAATGCTTAAGGCTTATGGTTTGCATGGAAAAGCTAACGAAGCAGTGCAACTATATTTCAACAAATGGACATCAAACCCGATCCTACTACCTTTGTTGCTGTTCTTTCAGCTTGCAGTCACTGCGGACTAGTTGAAGAAGGGATTGAAATCTTTAACTCCATGTTCAAGAATCATGGTATAGTGCCTCAGTTAGATCACTATGCTTGCATTGTAGACATTTTTGGACGAGCTGGGCGAATCATTGAGGCTAAGGAGCTTATAAGTAGAATGCCTATGGAGCCTGATTTTGTGGTTTGGAGTGCACTACTTGGGTCATGTAGGAAGCATGGTGAAACCCACTTAGCTAAAATTGCTGTAGCTAAACTAAAGGAGATGGAGCCTAAAAATTCGTTAGGTTATGTACAAATGTCAAATATATATTGTTCAGGTGGCAGTTACAATGAGGCAGGAACAATTAGAAAGGAAATGAATGGGTCGGGAGTTAAAAAGGAACCTGGTCTAAGTTGGATTGAGGTTGGAAACCAGGTGCATGAGTTTGCCTCTGGCGGCAGACATCATCCTCAAAGAGAGGCTATATGCACCAAGCTAGAGGAACTGATTGGGAAGTTAAAAGAGATTGGTTATGTACCTGAAATAAGCTTGGCCTTGCATGACATAGAGAAGGAGCAAAAGCAGGAGCAATTATTACACCACAGTGAGAAGATGGCTTTGGTATTTGCGATAATGAATGAAGGGAATTTGCATTGTCGTGGGGGTGCAATAAGAATTATGAAGAACATCCGGATATGTGTGGACTGTCATAACTTCATGAAGTTAGCATCAGATCTTCTTCAAAAGGAGATTATTGTGAGAGATTCAAATCGTTTCCACCATTTTAATAATAAGGTATGCTCTTGTAATGATTATTGGTGAGAAGCTAGTACTAATCTTTCAGTTTTCCCCTGCATGTTTCTCACCATGTGCAAAAGGATTAAACTGCACTGCAGTGAATTGGCCGAAAAAATCTGCTTTTGGTAGCAATTGGGTGGGGAAACAAAAGGATGCATTAACCCTAAAGTAAACCCTGTAGTTGAAGACCTCAACTCATCCTCGTGACTCACATGCCTACATGGTAATTGGTATGCGCCCATGAATCCCCTCTGTTCCTTGCGGATTTGATCATTACTTGGAGATGCGCACATGTATATCGACTGCGAAAGCATTTATCAAACAAGAAATTGGGAAGTGAAAATTCATTTTTGAAGGAATCGTGCTGAGAGGATGTAAAACCTTTTAGGTGAGTTAATCAATAGCACACATGAAAAGTGTGGCAAAATCTTGCAGGTTTCACTAACCATCAATTTTGCATACTGCATTTTTCACAATGTGCCTCTATATTTTTTGTATTCATAAAAGCATAAGTGGTGTTCATGAAGGAAAAGGATTGATTAGGTCCATTTTTAATGACAGAGTAGTCTCTTGAGAATATATATAATCTTTTATAAATCATTGAAGATATTACAACTTGAACTTAAGAATTCTACTTGCGTTTTACTCTTCTTCTCTTATCACCATAGCAAATTGCTTTGATTTATTGTATCTCTATCTCTCTCTCTGCTTCCATTTATTTATCTAGAAATGAGTAGCTCTGCTCTTTAGTGATGGCATCTTTGTGTATTCAAGGAAAATGTGTATAAGGATTGCAGTGCTTCCAAATATGGTTGCTAAAATGGTGTATCCCCTCTCAGTGGATAGCAAAGAAAATTTTTGAAATGATATCCAACCCCCAACACAAATTGAAAAGAAAGCAGTGAGAAAAACCTACAAGAAAAATGACCAAAACAATGATTAAATTGTAAGACATTTATTATGAACAACTTCCTAAGATTAGATTTCTGAGGCATTATTTCTGTTTTTATGAAGGATATCTTACTATCAATGACTTCATCGAGCGACGAAAATCTGTAATTTCTTCTTCATCAAATGTGCCAGTTGCTGCAAATTTCTCAAGTAGAGCATCCTGACAGTAACACAAAACGAAAAACTTATAAGTAATCTTCTGATTCTGGACTGACCGGAATATAAAAGTGGCACATATACCTTGGCAATGAACCTATTTCTACACCATTGAGCAATGCCTTCATCTGATTCTGGCAGTTCCTTGGTCGAATATCGCTTTATATGGACCTTTACCTGTGTTATATAATATAAAATATGAAATTCACAGTTTCTTGAAAATTTGATGGATCAAGTTACTTAAGGCTTAAGTTACATACCTTGCTAGGTTGCATCTTGATGAATGTTAGTAATGTGGGAAATGGGTTATCGTCTTTTGGTATTGCAATTGTAATGTCATAAATGGCAGGAACAAATGACCGTAAACTCTGCACTGCTGCAACAAAACCCTGAAATTTTGTTGCATAAGTTAAGAAAACAAAATTAATTTTCACCACAAGGCAAATTAACCTTTTTTGGACAGAAATATTCTAAGAAATTTTACCTTGGTTTTTGGGATCAAAACATTTTTAGGAATTGGCAACCCTTTTGAAGAAGCAAATGTTTGAGCTCCTAAGAGTTTATCAGGCGTTAAACGAGTTCCTTCCACGAAAATAGTTACCCAAAATGGCATAGGAAAATCCTTAAGCGCTTTAAAACTTGACTGCATGCAATATATAATTTTCATATAAATATTGTGCATGGATTAAAATTTAAAATACCAATAATAATTGTTTCTAAAAAACGAAGGACCTCAAATATATATAATTCTTTTACCTTCAATTTGGTTTCGTCCTTTGCCCAGTTTCTATCCACGAAAATAAATTCATAAAACCAAAAAGCCCACCCAAAGAACTGCATATATATGCTCGCCAATATGGAAAATTAATAATTTTTACCGTCGAAAATTTCTTGAAAATTACAATTAATTAGAATTAAAAAAAAAATCAATGATTATATATTTTAAGTTGAAAACTAACAGGAAGGTATTGCGCAGTTTTCTTTACGACTGCGAGTGCACTTCGAAGACAACCAACACGCTGCAACAACAAAAACACAATAAACACAAATTTAAGTAATTTGTTTTGAAAAAAAAAGAAAGATTTATATATAATCTAAAGTATAGTTTCACAAGTAATTGATAAAATTCTACTTATAAAAATAAGTAATTAATAGAATTGATTAACCTGTGCTAAAATAAATGTAAGCAATGTATCGGCATCAGAAACATGGTTAGGCATAAGAAGAGCATGTTCTTTACCTGCAAATATTTATATAAATTAAACAAGAATAAATATAAAAATAAGTAAACAATTTTCTCATGGATGTAGAAAACTTCAAAAAAAATTTCTTAATTCATTTATTTTGGGGATTACCCATCAACTCATAAGTTTTCAAATCTGTATGCAGTTTAACCTGTAACAAAGACAAAAAAAAATGTGTATTAAAATTTAAAAATAGTAATAATTAAAAAAGAATTAGCTAGGAGTAAAAAGTAGCAAATGAACACCTCAAAGCCAGACCACCATTCCATCATGAATACAACCTCAAGCAATAATAGCTCTGTTATTGCTCCACTGATTCTTCTAAATGTATTTCTCGAAACCGGCCGAATAGTTAAGTAACAAATTACCTGCAAAGTTAAATAACGTGACTCAGTTTATGTA